GTTTCACGTCCTTATAATTTTTCTTGCCTGCAATAATGCTCGTCTCTCTGTTTTTAAATATGTCCAGAAGGAAGATGATGCAACATTAACATTGTCAAATCATCTTTAATGTAACTAATAGTATATCACTGTGCATGAAACAGAGGTTATGTTTTGTTTTATTTATTTTTACTGATTCCAAACACGTCTTGTTACATTTTCTTTGATTTCATTCGCCACACCAAGTTTTATTTTCATTTTTTGATCACTTTGAAGCGATTGGTTATTGAAGTTTATTTTGCCTCCGTGTAGTCACAGTTTTTTATTTCTTTCCATAGATCTTTATTACTCTTTATTTTGTGATTGCTCTGTCTCTTTCCTTTTATTTTAACACACACTTTAATACTATTAATTATGAGTCAAATAATTTAATACCATTAATTTTCCATTATCATCCCTCTAGGCATATATTTATATAAAAAATAATAGAGAGATTAACATTGCAAGCGAGAAAAACTGTAGAGATTTGGAATAACAAAAATAAAGTATATGAAGCAATAACAAAATAAGATAAAATTATAGAGACTAATAATTATATTTTTTTAATTTTTAATTAAAATTAGATATGTTCCTCCCCGCGTTACCCAAAATTTGAGATGAGTTAACTCATGAAAAATACAAGTTGCTATAGATTTTAAATTGTGTGTATTAAATTATTAATATTTTAATGTTATATCGTGCGTACTGATATTTCAATATCGATTTTCATTTAAACTAATAAATGTCACACACATATATTTTAACAAATATGAAAAGTATCAATCTTTGTAAAAAAAATAATATTATTTTTAAACATATTTAAATTATATTTTACCTCAGTGAAGGAGTAATAAATACTCCCTCTGTTAAAAAATATAAAGCATTTTTAATATAATCTTACCCCCTAATAAAATAGTTACCTACTTTCAAATTAATTTATCTTTTTATATTTACCTTTATTAAACACCATATAATAAATATAAAATTATTATCAATAGAGACACTTTTGAACAAAATACAATGATTATACGTCAAAAGATTAAAAATATATTACATTTTTGAATATTTAATTTTTTAAAAAATATTTTATATTTTTAAATAAAGAGAGTGTGTATTATTGGGTGACAAGTGTTGTAGGCAGGGATGACAACCTAATCCTCTTGGGTTACAAAATGACATGGTCAAAAATATCAGAAGAAAGGACTGTAGTTCATGCCTAAACCACAAATAATACTAGAGGATTATTGTAACAAGTTCATAAACCACAAATGTTTTTCTTAATTAATTAATTAATCACATCCATTCAAATAGTTTATGTGCACCGGGGGATATATATATATATATATATATATATATAATATCTATACAAGAGATGGCCATCAAGAGAGATTTTGGATAACTTTAGGAAATATGAATCTATATCATCCCTATATGGTGTCAATATTAATATAAAATTTATAATAAGTTGCAATATTCATAAGTCATCAATAATATGATTTATTTTTAAAACTCGGTGTAATGAATAGTGCTATGTCTAGCTGATATGTGAAGCACGTGGCTGGGGCTCTGGCTAGCAGATGAAACATAGTTGCACACTTGCACTTGCTGAGCTGTGACTAGATTTGTCTGCTTTTAGTCACTAAATTACAAAAGGCTAACCTATTTTTTTTATTAAGATTTTTAAATTCATATTAATTTCTTAATTATATGTACATGATGTTTTAAAATTACTCTTTAAAATTTAATTGATTCTTTAAAGTGATCCTTCAACGTTTTAATTGTATAAAAACAGACTTAGATCGGATAATGTAAAGACAAAGGTCAAATATGGCACCACAAAACAAAAAAAGAAAAAAAAAGTAAAGCGACAAATTGAAATTTAAAAATACGGGGGGACAAATTGATATGAAATGATAAAGTAAAGGGTGATAAAAACAATAAAAAAGCTAACATTTTATCTCATAAAGAGATACAGAAAGAAAATTTGTTGAATGGTGTCTGTGCTGTGGATCGCGATTTTTTATTTTTGATTTAGAAATACGTAAATTTTTTTGGGTACAATAAATTTACAAACATAATTTTTTTTCACTTGATTAAAACACAACCGGTACCAGTAAAGATTGAATCTAACGAAAATGATTAATCTCTTACAATATAATAAACTAATATTTGATTCTCTACTAAGAGATATGTTTACATGTATTGAAATTTCATATATCTAATATTAAATTTTATTTAATAAAAAATAGTAATAAAAAAGCACACTCCATTTAGAAAATTTTATCTACCCACTTCTATTTATTTTTATCATTTTTTTTAAAAAATTGATACTTAGTTAAAAATAAAAGGAGGTGTAAAACTAACGCTTTTTTAGGGGATTAAGTAACTCTTTGTCTATTATTTTGACCAAAGCTATGAAACAGCTATTTCACTTTAATTGCATTTCAATAACTGCATTTAATGGTAGGTATTTAGAGACTTTCCACTATTTAATTGTATATCTATTCAATAAAATGCAATAAATCATTTAACTCTAGCTACAAAAACTGTTATAGTGAGCGTCGGTTTGGATTGGAGTTCAACAAACGAACGAAATTATAGATAATAGTGATTTTTAAAAGTGATATTTATAGATAAAAGATATTTCACGCCCAAAAATTAAAAAAAAAAAGATTATGGATATATAAATTTTAAGATGTGTCTAATTAAATGATTTGAATTATTTTAATAAAATAGATTATCATTATATATATATATATATTTAATATAAAGAATCTAACAACATTAATTAAAAATAATGTTGATAAATTGTGATTTTTTTTTTCGGATTCTTGTCTGTTTGCAGCTCCCAAAGTTGTTTAATAAGAAATTGAGACTACACATTTGGAGCATTGACTGAGGAAAAAAAGGGAGGGAGAAAAAAAAAAAAAGGTTGAGAGAGAGTAGGAGAAAAGGGTGAATAGTAGATGGTAGAAATTTTTGCCGCAGAGATCCAATCGCGATTTTTTCAACAAGGAAGCATTTTCTGATAATTTCTGCGTACTCAATGCATCCAAAAAATTCGAATCACAGTTGATCGGCGTTTCAAAAAAGTATCCAAACAGTAGAAATGAAGTTCTAATTACTACTTAAATAAATGTATACTCCGTTAAAAAATATAAAATATTTTTAAAAAAATTAAATATTAAAAAAATATAAAATAATTTTAATTTTTTAATGTGTAATCATTATTGTCTTTTTTTAAAAAATATTTTTATTAATAATAACTTTATATTTATTATAGGATATTTAATAGGGGTGAATATAAAAATATATGGTTAGTTTAAAGTAAGTAATTACTTTATTGAGGGATGAAATTTGGTTAAAAATATCTTATATTTTTAAACGAAAAGAGTATAGGTTTTCATGTCAAACCAAACATGCACTAAATTTTTATCAAGTAAAATTACATTTCTCACCTCAACTTTTTTTGGATCTTCAAATTTTTGGATTGTCAATTTTCTCAAATGATTATTTGCCATTAATTAATGCATTTAACAACAAACAAATATAACCTCTGATAATTTATAATTAATTTTAACCAGACTTTAAAGCACAGTCTCGTCTCACCGATTGCTTGGTTGAGGAACTCAGGAAAGTAAAGGAGGAAATTAAACTTTTCAAAAGAACCATAAATTTGGTGGTTTACGATTCATTAAAAAATATAACTTCCAATAAAGTTGGGTTCTCAACTTAGCTGAAGATTAGGATATAATTTACAGAATTATACACACACACATATATAAGATTTAGAATTTAAATCCTCTAAAATTAAAATACGTTAATTTCAATGGAGTTTTCCCTTTTTAATATTTTTCATCATTTTATTATTTTTTATAAAATATAAGATCTTTTTATTTTCTTTAAAAGGCAAACTTTACTAAAATTCACATATCCCAATTTTTTTTAAAATTAAATTATAAGATTTACTTCCTAATTTTGTCAGAATATATATGCATCCATGCATGTATGATAAATTTACATATACCAAATTTTTCTTATTTTTGGGCCAATTTATTATCAAATATCTTAAGGAATAATTTCATTTTTTTCGAAGAATTAAAACAACTAAACTAGTAAATCGTACATGAAATCATGAATTTCACATGAAGTATTTCTAGAGAATTATGATTAATTGAACTAAACAATTCTTAAAATAGATCATATTATTTATGACTTATAAATAATGTGATACTTTATGAATTTCAGATTATATGTATAAATAAATGGATTATATATGATATGGTTGATAGTAATTTTTATATTTGATATTAACATTGATTTTAATTTTTAAAACAGCATGAAACAAAATTTTTGGTATTAAATTAAAATTATAATAAATAATATTTTTATCAAGCACAAGTTACAAAATAAAAAACTACTCTCCAAATGGAAAGTTAAATTTTACACAATCATTCATCAAACTATTGGAGAGGAGATTGAGATGAGAAAGCGTAATCTGTTAACTTTCTCAACAAATAATTTTTTTTTCCCCTAAAAAAACTAAGTTATCTGTCCATCACAATCATAATCCAAAAAAGCAGTCCCAATAATGAGCTTTTGATTCCACCCGTCATCAAAGTGAATTCTGTTAGTAACTTGTTTGCTGATAACATGAAAAATTCCAAATCAAACCACAAAATTTTCCCGGTAAAGCCCCTCAGAATTTTTTAAAATTTAAATTAAAAGCAGATGATGATGATGATATTATTATTATTTTTATTATTATAATGGCAGTATTACATTAATCTGGATTTATCGTTGGTGGGTGAGAGAGCGAGACTAAAAAAAGGCACGCACTTGAAAAGATCTTTTTCACTATATCAAAACTTTTTGCAACGGAAAGAGACAAAGTCCAGTGATTCTCAGTTCCCATCTCTTCTCTCTCTTTCTATTTAGCTTAGGAGTAGAGAGAGAAAATGAGAATGTGTTCCCGTGACTCCCAAGGATAAAATAGTAACTTCACAACCTTTCTCGGTTTCTTCCCTGAATAGCGGAGCGGGAACAAACAGTCACTCACTCACGCACACGCTCGCTCGCTCTCTCTCTCTCTCTCTACTGTGAGTAGTAGGGGAATTCTGGTGGAAGATGACTAGCCACCTTCACCATGCATTTCCATAATTATATTTTTACATTCCCATAATACCCCTCTTCTCTCTGAGTGGAATTGGAAAAGCGTCGGCAGTATATTTTGTAGTGTTCTGAGATGGAAGAGGAAAATTCCAAATAAGCTACAAGAGGAGGAAATAAAGGGACCCCCTTCTTCTTCCCTATCATCATCTTCTCTGAAACCTGTGTCTATCATATTTGTGTTATTTTTTAAACAAACCTACCGGTTAATCTTTTTCTGAGGGATATAAATCTAGCGTGTTTTCAAATACCCACTAGCAGTTTCTTTTCCTTTTTTCTGAAAAAGCTCTTCTAGTGTTTAGCTTCAATACCCACCTGCGAATTCTCAGAAAGGCGAATCCTTTTGAATCAGTGGCTGTAATGGCGACGCAATTTGGAAGTGGGATGATGTGGGTGGTGAAGATGTTGTTCTGTTTCGTCTTGTTTTCGGCACCCTTGCTCACGGTGGCTGCGAGGACCTCCGTCCTCGATGCGGGCACCGGCACCGGCACCGGCACCTCCGGTCAGAAGCTTGAGGTCCAGATGCAGCTGAAGAATTTGAACAGACCTGCTGTTAAGTCTATTAAGGTGGATTTCTCTCTCTGCCTCTCTCTCCACCCCTACTATGCTTTTTAACTTTTCCTTATCGATAATTGCAACATTAGTGAAAGAATGAAAATTACCTTTTGGTTTCCTAAAGGGGCCTTAAAATCTTTAGATTCCCTTCTCTAGCTTGAAAGCTTCTGTTGTTTTTCAATTGTTTGTATGCATGTTTCATGGGGAGCTGAAGAAGCTCAGCGAGTTCTTGCTTTTAATTATGTCAGGACTCAGGAATGATTAACTTTTCTGGGTTTTTGTTTGAGATTGTAATTAGTTCGTTTTATTTTCAAATTCTAATTCTAATTGTCTGGGTTTACTTCTTTTGGTTATTATAAAAAAAAAAAAAACAGAGCCCCGATGGAGATATAATAGACTGCGTCCATGTCTCGCACCAGCCCGCTTTTGATCATCCTGAACTCAAAAACCACAAAATTCAGGTAAATCATTGCTTACTTCTCTAATTCAAAACAAGGGTATTCTCTTTGGCGGGCAATTTTGATTTTGGTTTTGGTTTGAATTGGAATTATGCGTTTTGTGTTGCAGACAAGACCAGATTTCCACCCAGAAGGACGTACTTTTGGAGAAACCAAAGTCTCTTCAAAATCCAAGCCTATTACTCAGCTGTGGCATCAGAATGGAAGGTGTCCGGAAGGGACCATTCCTATCAGAAGAACCAGAAAAGATGACATATTAAGAGCAAGCTCTGTTCAACAATTCGGAAAGAAGAAGCACAAGGGCGTCCCTCAGCCTAGATCTGCAAAACCTCAGCCTGACCTCATCACTCAGAGTGGCCATCAGGTACTACTACTGTCACTACTAGTACACACCCATACTTACTAATGCAAAAGCTTCAAGCAGTAATAAGTACTGAAACAAAAAAGGGAAAAGAAATACTGTGCATGCGCATGAAATCTTTTATATTATGCTTATTGGGTTTGTTTTTTCTCTTTTTCTGTGATGGGTTTGGACTTTGGAGCACTTAGCATGCCATAGTTTATGTGGAGGGAGATAAGTTTTATGGAGCTAAGGCAACCATAAACGTTTGGGATCCCAAAATTCAACAACCCAATGAGTTTAGTCTCTCTCAAATGTGGATCCTTGGTGGTTCTTTTGGTCAAGATCTTAACAGCATCGAAGCTGGCTGGCAGGTATTCTTTGACTTGTTGCTTTTGTCGTCATCTTCTCTTTTAAAGTGTTTTTCAATTTCTTCACGTCCATCTGTTTTCATGCTTCTTTTTAATTTTTGTTATGCCTATTCAGGTCAGCCCTGATCTATATGGAGATAACAACACCAGACTCTTCACATATTGGACGGTGAGTTATTAATGTCTTCTTTCTCAGTGCTTCTTTTTATTCTTTCCACTAATCATTCACTGATTTTTTTTTTAAATTCGTACTTTTTCTTGGGTTTTGTGACAGAGTGATGCGTATCAAGCTACTGGTTGTTATAATCTTCTTTGCTCTGGTTTTATTCAAATTAACAGTCAAATAGCCCTCGGAGCCAGCATCTACCCACTTTCAAACTATGGGTCTTCCCAATATGATATAAGCATCCTTGTCTGGAAGGTGCCTTTAAAATTTTCTCCTTCGCCTTTTAATAGTATTGTATTATATTTTCCATTAGACATTCTGGCAAAAAAAGTGGAGCCCCTACGCTTGGCAAGCACATCCTTATTATAAATAAAATGGTACAGGCATTAAATAATCATAAAACAAGAGAATCTCTGACACATTGTCATTATATCTTGATGGTATTTTCGGTCCACGGCGTTGTCCATGTGGATTTAGCTCTAAACAAGCATAGAGGTTCTTGCATTGATACAGTTTATAAATTTTAAGTAAGCCAAATTATGAAGAAGCATGCAAATATGTCAGTATACATTTCAGTGGCACTTATATTTGACATGCACATGTTTGTGGCTCTTTCTATTATTGGACTTGGTTTACTGATCATTAACAAAGTTTCTTGAACAACGTCGTCTGATAATGTTTCTGACTGATATGGTAAACCTAATGAGCAGGACCCTAAAGAGGGAAACTGGTGGATGCAATTTGGGAATGAACATGTGCTGGGATACTGGCCGGCCCCACTATTCTCATACCTCTCGGACAGCGCTTCGATGATTGAGTGGGGAGGAGAAGTAGTGAACTCAGAATCTGATGGGCAACACACCTCAACACAAATGGGAAGTGGGCATTTCCCTGATGAAGGATTTGGCAAGGCAAGTTATTTCAAGAACATTCAGATTGTTGATGGTGATAACAAGCTCAGGGCACCTAAAGACCTTGGCACTTACACTGAGCAACCCAACTGCTACAATGTCAAAAGTGGCAATGCAGGAGATTGGGGAACCTATTTCTACTATGGTGGTCCTGGAAAGAACCCTAATTGCCCGTGATCGATCAGGCTGCGAAAGAAGAGAAAAGGTAGACGGTTTTTTAGTCTCTTATAGCTAGTACCTTGTGTTAGCCCCTATCGAGTTCAGATCCTTCAAAAGCCAGAGACAAATCTTGAATCTGTGTTTGAACCTGCGCTTGTTAGGTTGGTCTGTTTTTGAGTTCTGTTGTATGATAGTATTTGATTTCCAAATAGGGTCTCCAAATAATTCATTGGAGAAAAAGGGGTGGTGGGTTCCTTTAATTTTCATGACAATTTCTTCTTCACTGGTGTATGCTGTTGATAAAATAGTGTTTTTGTTTTGTTCCTCTCTCTGGAGTTATTTGAATGCTGGAATGTGAATGTGAAGGAGGGAATATTCTAGTATTGGACAGGTGAATATGTATTTAATTATTATTTTAGCATGTTGTTGGATTTGTGAAAAGCTGTCTTGATGATGATGATGATGATGATGATGATAAAAGGCATTTATATAGTTTTGTTCTATCTTGAGACATTAGTGGGGTGACATTTTTAAATTGAATCAGAAGCTAGTGATGGAAATTGGGAACCACAACCATATGCCTCCACATCTGGGGGGACTCTGAAGTCTGAACAGAGAGCCTACATAATTGAATCACTTCATATCTCTGTACCAAAATTTTCAGTATCAAAGCAGAGTAGAAAGTTAACGTATTTTCCTGTTAAATTCATTTTTATTGGTCAAATATTATCAGATCTGAATGAAAAAAAAGGAGTGTGGGGTCATCTCAGACCATTGAATAACTCGAAGAAAAGAAAAATCAGGCTAAGAGGTTAGACATGGTGGACCCGTGTGAGATTTAAATATTTAATGGTTTGTTAGTGTGGAATTTTCTTTAGAATTTGGTTGGCTATTTCCTCACCTCCACTTTATCACTTTCTCTTATTAATATTATTTTTCTTTTCAGGCAAAATCACTTCCTCTTTATGATCAACCACTCATGTTTCCCTTTGGGAATTGTGGCTAGCATAGAAACACATCAAAATATGAAAAATAAAAAGGAAGAACTGCTTTCTGAAAGATGAGCAACTACTAAATCTCTTTTATTGATTAAAAAGTTGTAAAATGAATTACACATACTTTCTTTAAACTGTGTATGGAAGACAGACACTTACTAGGCTAGATTTTGCCACCAGGAGGAAAATTATCGAGAAAAAACAGGAAAATTAAAGCGAGCTTGGTTTTAATTATATAAGTTGAAATGATAAAAAAGAATGACAAAATTTTTTTGGAATAGAATCAGCATCTTACAGGAAAAAATGATGATAGCAAAAAACTTTTGAGCTGAAATGGAGGAAATTAAATGGCTTTTAATGGTTGGTGAGAGTGAATTATAGAGGTAAGAGTCCATTTCTCATAATGAGTGTGAAGGAGAGGCTATTTGAGAGAAGAGAAGAGAAGAGGAGAGAGATTTAGGGCAAAAACCAGAGAGAACAATTTGAATTGTTGTTGAGAAAAAGTGAAGGCATCAAAAGTCAAATGGAGGGTTTTCATGGCACATGGGAGTTTCATTCACAGAGAGTGATAAATAGCTGTCTTCTGTTAATAACAATAATACAAGTGATGTGAATCATTATTTATTGTACTATTTCACAAGGTTTTTCAAATCTTTCCCATTTGGGTTAGCCACGTGCATTTCTTCTCATATTCAAATCTTAAAATAATATAAACCACACTACTCACATTTGTCCTGCCTACCCTAACACTGCATGCCACACTCAATATAGTTGGCAACCACGTACCAACTAAATCATTCATATATCAATATAAAATATAAACAATGCGAATCTCACTTAAATCCCTTGTAATAGTTTTAATTTTAGTTAGGTCCCTTAGGTTTGGGGATTTTTTTTAAAATTTCAAGAGGCTTTGATGAAATTAACCACAACAAATTTGCAGCCATTTTATTAATTAGAATTTATGACTCCATTATAACAAATTCACAATTTTTTTTAATTTATTAGTCATTTTCATCATAAAATTAACTTGTATTTTTTAAAATAAAACAGACTAATTCATTTATTATAACCCTTTTTTCCTCTAATAATAAGGACATAAGGTAGTTGTGAATTTGTTGTAATGATTTTATTCAATCTAAAAAGGTTAAGTTAATCTACATATGCAAATAACTAACAAGTTTTTAAAAAGTGGCAGTAAATTTGTTATAATAAAGCCATGAATTTTAATAAAGTATTGCAAATTAAGTTGTTTACTTAACCATTGAAAAATGAACTTGATTTTTTTTTTACTAAATAAATCTATTTTTCCGGCAATCGTAAGCTGCTCCAGCTTCAGTGCCAACATGGATGGTTGTGGTGGATTGAAGTGTTGATATATTTAATTTTGTTATTTCATTGCTTTTTTTGTATTTAAATAAAATAAAATTTCATAATTTAAGGGATTTAACTCACATCAAATGGCTTGCAAGAGATTTAGTGAAATTATCCCAATATAATTAATATCTATACATATTTAAATAATAATACTATTTATCGCCATTTGAATATTTTTTATTTTTTTAATCTTTCTTTCTACATGCAATTTTTTTTATTTCTTCTATATTTTTCTAGATGTTTCAGTGGGATGTATGTGTTTGAAAAGAAGAAAGAAGTGAACTCTTTCAAAAAAATTTAAGCTATTATCTATTCCAGAAAACCTGACTTTAAATCTAGCTACTAATATGAAAATTTTGATGGAGAATAATATATAAGTGAATTTTGAGTTATAAGATTAATTATGCTTTAATTCCCTTAATGAAATCTTAGAACTCAACTCAACTCAACTAAATTATTTTAAGTGAAAAACTTGTAATTTAAGAAAATTCTATTATATAAATGAATGTACTTCTCCAATGGAAAGGTCATTTTACATGTAGTAATGCCACTTGATCATTATATCTATGTATAAATTATAAAATTTATAAAAGTCCTCAATATTTATTACTCATAAATTATGTGTCTTTCTTTGAACTTCATATACAAATATAGTCCTATAATCTAGTTATCCTTTTTAAAAATAGGTAAACTCTCTTTATTTTTAATATTTTAAAATTCAAAATATTATAGTGGAGGAAGAATATATATATATAATATATATATCAAATTTTACAAACATAATATATATTTTATTAACTTCAAAAAACTTAATTTATTGCGTTGGAAAACTCATGACAACTTAAACAAATAATATGACAATGTGTTTTTGTCGCATAAAGTAGGAAGATTTATTTTTGGACTATATATATATATATATATATATATATATATAGCAGGAAAGCTTAATACGGGGAAACATTTCTGAAATTTTAAAGAGTGGTGACATATAAAGCTGTAAAATGGAAACAACATACTTATAATGATAAGATCCAATCTCAAAAGAAATCCGCATGAAGCTGCAGATTTCTGTTTATTACAAACATTTCATTCCCATACATAATACTATTAAGTAGAAAATTTCCCTCCGTGCAATGTTCATACTCTGCAACACCCTCCTCTTCCAATTTAACTAATCCTGCAAAATTTTCATCCAAATAATTAACCAATAATAATAAATATGTGAGGAAGTCATATATTGACAAATTAATTGTGTTGATGGCAAGCGAAAAAAAAAAAGAGAATTACACGCGTATTTGGTAATAAGATTCAAGTGATATATATTCTAATATTCTTACATAATCCCTTTTAATATATTTTGATTGTTCATTGTGTGTGTGTGTATATATTGTTTTTTCTGCCCCTGTTATAATATATAATCAACATTTTGTTTGATTAAAAATAAAAAAAATATCTTTACATACTTAGAGTATTTAAATTCACTAAACATAGTTACATTAAATTAAAAAAACTACTCCCTCCATTCAAAAATGTAAAATATTTTTTAAGGAGTTGAATGTTAAAAAATATAAGACATTTTTTATTTTTTGATGTGTAATTATTGCAATTTTTTAAAAATGCCTCTATTGATAATAATTTTATATTTATTATAGGGTGTTTAATATGGATAAATATAAAAAAATAGGGTTAATTTGAAAGTAAATAACTACTTTATTGGGGGTAAGATTCAATTAAAAATATCTTACATTTTTTAAGGGAGGGAGCATAAAATAATTCAACCTTAAAATGCACATACATGATGTATATATCATCACCATGTCAAGCATGTAGAAAACAATTTGACACATAAGTTTAACAACATTTGCTTATGTTGCATCAAGAGTTCAAAAAGAATCACCAATCTTCAATATAATATAATTAATATATATATATATATATATATATATATCCATATTACAACAAATCGTATAGTCATGGTATACAGCAAGGTGTACTATTCATAACAGTAAACAATTTATGTGACACACGAGATATATCAATATCAAAACAAATCATAAAATCTATAACAAGCTACATATTTACAATTCAAGAATGATGGAATTCATGAAAAAAAAAACATATTGAGTGTAACGTAAGAATTAAAGAAGTCAGTGGATTATATTACTTGGAGCAGTCAGTGTCAGCGGAGATAGTGAAGGGGAGAGAGATTCCACAGTTAGAAGGAAGAGCTTGAGCGAGCTGAGATTTAATGGTGAGGCTCTTTGCAGAAGACTTGATGCAGTTACAAGCTGTCTTCCTGTCTGCTGTGGTTGATGCCGCCGAAGCAAGCGCCTTTGCGCCGGAGCAGCACGCCGGCGGCGGCTTCCCGCTTCCACTGGACAAGTAGCTCACGCATGGCCTCAAGTCCTTCACCACATCACTGCATGATATTGCAGCCTCTGATGAGCTCGAAGCACTCAGCACCACCAGAAGAAGAAGAAGAAGGCCACTCACTGAAACCGAAGAAGATGATGATCTCATGGTTGGTTGGTTGGATGCTTTCTTCAAGCTTGCAATTAAACCAGATGGTGTGCGAGATTTTCATGGTTATGTTTCTGAATTTATAGAGGTTGTTACTTGGATGGGGGAAGCTAGGATGTGCAAGTAACTAAATGTAAATGGTGTTTTCTGGTTTGTGAATGAGTGCAAGAAAGAAGAAATGATTCATCTTGACTTCTTTTGTTTAGCAATTTATTCTGATTTAGGATCACACGAAAACAGTGAAAAACATTTTATTTTCAGAGAATCATATCTAAAAATTATTCAAACAAATTATTTATAAATATGAATTAATATAAAATGAATCGTTGGTAAAATAAAAATAATGATTTATTTTTTTTCAAATGAAATTTGTTATGATATATTTCTTATCTGTAAATAATTTGTTTGAATGGTCCTTAAATGTGATTCTTCATTTAATTTTAATCATGTACATCCATCTCGAATATGTTAGAACCTTAAATATTGGCATTTCTTTTGGGGAGATTTAATATTGCTTCATTATGTTATGAGAAATTAACCCTTTTTATTAGATTTAATTTTTATTAGTACTTTTAGTGCACTTTGTTTTCTATGGTCTGGAATAATCTTTTCCTTAATCAAAGTAATTAATTTGTTGTTGTTACTATAACAACTATATTAATTATGGGTTAGACAAGAAAGAAAATTTTTTCTCGACATCAACTACCTTTAATTGTGTTTATTGAAATGTGAGCATCAATATATAAATAGATTACTTTTATGAAGGAGTAGCATTTAGTGCGTGTGATTTGTAAAGTATATATGAAGCTTTTATTAATATTTACTACTCGTCCAAACTTAACCAAAGGAGAAGAAAGCTATGGATTGCGATGGAAGAAAGCGCTGTCATGTACAGGTGATCGGTACCATGCAGGGGAAAATAAGCATAAATTGAAGGAAGGTTCTAAATAATTATTCTCCAACATTAATCACAGGACCAAGTTTTAAAATTTTATTTGATTTTAAGTATAGGACAAAGATATATATTAGTTAATTTTGTTGTTTTCAATATTGTCTCTCTTTAATTAATTGCATTAAGTTTTGTAATTTATATACACTTTTTATTTCGGTAATTAATTTTAGTGAAGGCCAAAACTAAAAATCTAAACATTTTTTATAAATTTAATGGCATTAATTATTAACTGATATTTTTTAAAAATAGTAAAATTAGTTAACTTTGTTCTATAATTATGACAGGAGGAGAACAAAATGAGTGAGTGGGTGCAATAGGAGCAGGAAATGGATATCTCAACCACAGTTCAAGTCTTCAATGAAGTATCGTTGTGAACAAATGAAATGGTCCAATGGTTTTGCAATTTCTGGCCTTTTCTTCTTCGGATATGTTTTCTAGCTGTTCAGCATTTTGCATTATTCAGCTTATTTGATTGAGCCACGAATTACGATTTTAATCAATGCATAGCTTGCATTAATATTATATGTAGTGTTAGAAATTTCTCGTGATTAGTTTAAATTAGGTGGTCCTTTTTCTTTACATTTTTTTTTCAAAAATAGTTGGTTGAATAATGGGCTACCATTCATGAGCTGATTTTATACTATTATTGGACCTTTGAATGGATGAAAGGTTATATAAAAATATGTTATTGTAATATAAAATAATAAAAAAGAAAGAATTTAAAATATTAAAATTTGATCTAAGCAATTCACGAATATAGTGCGAACTGGAAAGACTGTTGATAAAATATTTTATAAAGTGATTTTTTTCTTTTTTTTTTTCCTGCTGCAGTTTGGAAATTACTAGAATAAATTTTAACTGTTTAAATTTATTGTTGTATTTTTGGTTCTTTATTATAATAGTAATTTAATAAAATATTAAATTTCAATCATTTAAATTCAATCTAATGGTTGATATTGTAAGTGGAGAGAAATAATAAATGATACATTTAATAACTAACCCAGCTTTTGAGATACGCATTTCTAGCTTTGTAGACAAATACAAAGAATTAAACACACAATTTCCTACTTTAAAAAAAAGGCTAAAATGCATAAAATAATTTTAAATTTTGAGACATTTATATATAATACCTCTCACCTTTAAAATTTTAAAATTAACCTCTAACCTTTAATTTTATTTTTCAAAACCCTTTATTATTAATTATGTTATTTTTTTCATGAGGGTTAAAATGTTATTCAACTAAAAATGTTATTAAATAAAAATATTATATTATATAATTATTTATAATAAATTTTTATATTTTATGAATAGTTGATGCATTGATAATAAAAAAAATGTTATTATCATTGTATAAAATTTTAAATATTTATGTTTATATTAGTTTTATCCATGCTTGTTGTTATAAATGGTGCATGATTTTATTTTTTTAAAATATAATTTTTTATTTATTTTTCATGTTAAATTAATGTAATACACATGACTAAAATATATAAAATTTTAAATATTACTGTATTAGATAAATTTTAATTTAATATTTAAATTTATCTAAAATTTAAATATTTAAATTTTAAAATTTAAATATTTTAACCATGTGCATTAAATTAATTTATCACAAAAAATAAATAAAAATTTATTTTTTAAAATAATAAAATCATGCACCAATAATAACCCAAAAAAATATTGATAAAACTAATATAAATATAAGTATTTAAAATTTTATACAGTGATAATAATATTTTTTTATTATCAATACCTCAACTATTCAAAAAATATAAGAAATTTATTATAAATAGTTATACAATATAATATTTTTGTTTAATAATTTTTTTTGTAGTTGATTGACATTTTAATCCTCATGAAAAAATAACATAATTAAAAATAGGAAGTTTTAAAAAATAAAATTAAAGATAAAAAAACTAATTTTAAACTTGTAAAGATAAAAAGGATTATATGTAATTGTCTTAAAGTTAGTTTTATGTAATTTAGCTAAGAAAAAAAAGATTCCTACCATTTACTTTAGGTTGGAAACTTAATTATAATTATTTTATAATTAAAACAATTTAAATACTTTAGGTTCTTAAAAAAGTTAACTAACTCAAGAGTTGCCTGTGAAATAGGTGTAATTAGACGTTGACAACATGAATATGTCGGTAAGACATGCAGATATAATATTGCCCAAGGGAATTTTATTCTTGAAGAACATTTAATATACATAAAAATATTATAAGATAGATAATTTTATAAATGAAAATAATATCCATATATCTGACATAAAATATTTAACAGAAAATAAATAAATTTTATAAATAATAAAAAAATATATTAGGATATCACATTCAGTGCACAATTTGAATATAATTATTTTCAATAAAAAGACATAACATGTAACAAAAAAAAAATTAAGATAAATTGTGAATATTATTTTTGTCGAAGGGTTATTGGTTGATTAAAATTACAAGAAGAAATTATTTTTTTTAAATAATGTTTGAAATTTTTAATGGACCACCCCTAAGCTGGTACACAGGTGCAGGCTAAAGCCTAGATTAGTTGCAAACCAGGCTAATCTTGGGCCCGGAGGAATCAAAAGTAAAAGAAAAGGAAATTAAACAAAAATAGGAGGAACGGCAACTACAAACCTTATTAAAAAAATTAATCTCAAATCAATAATTTATTCAAGAAAATTTTAGTGCTAAAAGATTGGAAGAGAAGTACTAAATTTGAGGATCTTAATTGTGAAGACATTCTAATTGAACATTACTATTATTATAAGATTCTTAATTATCATTTTACCTCAAAAGAACAAAAGTACGCTGCTGCGCCTTGCCCATATATACATCCTTTCTAGGTTTGGAGATTTTCTTGGTCTTCTCTTCTGGAACAGCATGAATCAAGGGTACTACCAGTTTAGATTAGCCTAAAAATCAATCATGAAAGCTTACAACATGTTTTCTTTTTTTCTTTTAAAAAAAAAGTTATCCAAACATTCACATTCTAATTAAATTAATTGTAAAAGTTTAAAATGTGAATTTCTCTCCCACGTTTTTACTTTGAATTAGAGTACCACCGGGTGCGTGATCAATTGAGTAGGAGTTGATTCAATTTAATTAAAGGTTTTAAATTTGAATTTTAAATATGTAATGGCGATTAAATTCTACAGTGATAATAATATGCTCCCTAAAAAAAGTACCCACAAGCTACCCATTAGATTAATTTAGATCAAAGTTATGTGAGAAGGAGAAAGGGAGAAAAAAGGAAGAGGGATGTATGGCGTGAAAGAAGGAGATAAGGGGTTTTGTCAACATAATACTTCTTTTATTTAAAAATATAAAATATTTTTAATTAAATCTCGTTCTTTAATAAAATAATTATTTATTTTTAAATTAATTCTATCTTTTTATATTTATATTTATTAAATATTTTATAATAAATATAAAGTTACCAGAAACATTTAAAAAAATAATAATTATATTTTAAAAAATTAAAAATATTTTACATTTTAAATATTTTACTTTTTAATGTTTTAACGGAAGAAGTAACTCAATGAGCAAATTAGTGCCTTCACACCGAAGGATGGTTCGTCCGTGGACGATATCGTGGTCTTCTTTTGTGTGTGAATGGGCCCCACTTCTGCTAAATTTTAGCGACCACGATTTCGTATTGTATATCATTTCATTTCTGCCATATCCGTATCAGTTTCACGCGTCACGGTGCAGTACTACAGTCTTCCACAAAATTAGGTTTTGTTCCCTTTGGAAAAGTTCATTGCCTTTGCACCTCCCCATCCTTTGGTGGATTCCCCTGTGGCAGCCACTAACTCATCGTCTAATCATTCCTATCATTCAAATGTTCATTAGTAACTTACTTGCCTGGTTCGTTACTGCTATTTCTATAGTACAGATATAGATTACACTACACACGGTCGTAGATCCTTCATGCTCTTTAATTACTTCCAAATAACCATAGCCACTAGTTTAAGTGGCATGATAATATTGGGCCTGCAATAAACTTAATGATTTTTTTTTAACCGACAAACTTAAATGATTCAAATCCCTGTGTTATAAAAAGGTTATTTCAGAATTTTATACATTAGTCACTTTTTAACATTATCACTCCAGTCAATATTTTTGATGCACTTATAAAAAAGGCTGTTAATTTTTCAGAAACTGATTTATATATAAAATCGGAAAAATTATCTTTCGATGTTGTACAATGCTTGAATTATTCTTTACTAATTTTAGCTATCCCTTGACCTAGAAAATTTATATCCTAAACTCAACTTACCGAAAAAAAAAAGTAAAAATGATGAAACGCTTATGATTATACAAACATGAAGCTCACCTATGTGACCTGTAGGCTTTGAAGATGATTAGTATAACTGGATCTCGTCATTATTATTATAGCTAGATATTTACTTTGGATGACGTTTGAGGATTGCGTTCACATTATTCCAGGCCATGTAAGGATCTTTATATATATATATATATATATTATAAAAGAATTTATTTCCAAAATTTTTATTTTCAAATTAATATAAACAATTTACTTTTCACATAAGAACGAATATTCTTTTACTGATCCTTGAAGGAAGGAGAGAACAGTTCGCGTTAATTCATTCTGTGCTGCAACTGTTTCTCCACGACCCGCACATTAAAAGGGGAAAAGAAAAAGGAAAAAGAAAAAGAAAATAAAACCAATCAACTGAGAAAGCGAGAAGACAATGAAACAAAGAAAGAAACAGTAAACAATTGCATTTAGCTTTTCCGATGATAGACATTAAAGAAAGTTGAACAGAGAGCAGAGGCAGAGCATATGGTTGGTCAAGCAAGATTAGCCGACCAGCAGACCTAATCCTCGCACGCCTCCACCAAGTAATGCTTGCTTCCTTCACTTTCCTTTGATTTCTCCGCTTCTCTTCTCATTCTTCACTTCCCGTCTCCCGCCATTCACTGTGCCCGCCGGACCTCGGATTTCGGAGATCTGTGCTTCACCAACAATCCGAACATGGTTCGCGTGGCGGAGTTCGTTTTTGTTGCGATTCTGTTGGCATCTCCGGAAATGGCGCTTCTCGATGCTGCTCCTGTGGAACGGTTTTCATGTGAGTTTTCTTCCACGTTAACTTCTTTCTTGTTTTCTTTTCTTACTGTGTTTGCTTCCTCCGCATTGTTCTTCCTCTTTACTGTTCTGTGATGATTGATTCAGATTTCTGGAAACAAGTATACAAATCGATGAAGAGAAAATTAATTAAAATTATATTAGTTTCTTCTATGACAGTCGCATTGATGCCGCAAAACTTTTGGATGATTTTCTTCTTTTTGTCTGTTTGTACTTCTTTAGATTAGTCTTCAATCTTAATTCCGCTGCAACTTTTTCGAGTTTTGTTCAGAAAAAGAGATTTGCAGAAGAAAAAGGCAGGGACTGCCTCAAGCATGTTGGCTTTAATTTTTAAGATTAATTATTTCAAGCGAAACGAAACAAACACCATTAGATTTGTCAGAAGTTCGAACTCAGAACCACTTTTTTTTTTTTTTTTTTGGTTTCCTTTCAAGTTTTTGATACTTCTAGACTTAAACCTGGGCATTTTCGCCTAATCTATTTAATTGGGTTGTAATTAGAGCAGGTTGGATGTAAACTAGAGATTGACTCGTTTAAAGCTCAAAGTCTGTTTGATTCCATTGTTAAATTAAGCAAGTTTTAATAATTATTGAAGTCATTTTAGCCAAACTAGTGAGTTTTAAATTTAAATTTTCTTATTTTAGTTCCTTTTTTTTTAATATAACATTCTTATCTTTGTTCTGTTAGAGACTCCAATATCAGTATATTAATCAAGGAAGATGGTGGCCGTAGGATGTATTTAATTTATTTTGAGTAAAAGATTCTAAATCAACACAGAACACTTAACCAACTGAATTATGGACTGGTTTTTATTGACGATGACGGGTCAAAATAACATTTATGGGTCGGACCTGTTCACTACATTTATATATTGGTTAAATAGTAGCATTTATCTTTAACTGATCCTCTAAAACCGTGAGTTTATTAAATACTTTTAAAACGGAATATGAATGAAAAATGAAAATAATGTGACAGAAATAAGAAAAATAATATCTTGCTCTTTTTGCCCTTATTTTTATAACATTTGTAAAGTATAAATTTTACATGTTAGATATCTTATTAAACTCATCCTTTTCCAAAAAAAAAAAAAAACCTAAACTCATCTAATCCACTATTAACCTCATTAGGTCACAATCCATGATTTTCACAAATGATTGGTTAGTCACGGAAATGAGTGAAAATGGTCAGCATTGTGTCTTAATCAAAGTCATAAATTTTGAAAACTTTCTTTCAATCATGGAAATGATGTAAGTAATTAGCCTCAAGTAAGTGACATTTGCTTGCCCAACTTCTGGGAATAACGAGCACCATTGGGCCGGAGGAAAACGTAAGATAGAAAATTAGGAGAAAGATATTGAAAATGAATTAAATTATGTTAATTATAGGATCCACGTGGTGGAACATCACATCCAGACAATGAACGCCGTTAGTTGTACAATATGTTTATTTAATTGTTATTTTATTCACTTTTTAAATATTTTAGAGATAATAAAATTTTTATTCTTTAAATTTTTCTCAATTATTAATGTAATCTCTCAAATTTAATCTTCATAAATTAAGTCTTTAACGTTTCATAATCATACATAATTAGTTTTTATTGTTTGATGAGAAAATATTATTATCAACGCTAATTTTGTATGATTATGAAATTTTGGAAAGTTGATCGATAAAAATTCAACTTCAGGATTAAATTGGTAATCAAGATAAATTTAAAGAACCAATATTTTCATTATCTTAACATTTTTTTTTTCAGTTCTGAATTATCTTAGCATTATATATAGACTTCATTCATGACGTAAATTTCAAGGAGAGAACAATACATTTTGTATAATTCAGGCAGTAATAAGCGACATTCATCTATACAAAAAAAGATTCATGTATTGTATGTCGATCCCAAAAGATTGTTTCTATTAATTTTCAAGTTCATTATATCTATTATCTATATCCGTGTATAACTGCTAATTGTATTTTCCAACTTAAAGTTCTTTAATAATTTTATATAGGTTGTTGCATTTGTTGTTTCTTGAACATATCTAATGACGAAGCAAACGTGAAATGTACGACTAGTTGGTGATGAGCAAGGTCGGCTCTACAAGGAAAGGATATACCTTTACCTTTTGCTTTTCCTTTCCTAAGCCAAATGTATAAACCTTGATAGTGATTATCAATTTATCATTAATATCAATATCAATATTAGTATAAAGTATAAAAAAATAATGCAGTACAGTATATTATGATTATTTACAACTCTTAACGTTGTGACTCTTGTCAAGCTTCCTACAACCTTTTTCTAATCTTTCAGTATTTTAACTATTTTTCCATATATTTAATTGGGCTTTCCACGACTTTGTTTTATTTTTTGATTTTTCAATATGTTCCCACCCATTTCAATAAAATAAGTAAAGATATTCAGAATTATATAATGTTTCTCCAAATCTTTTTTAATGCTCTTCAGTCTTCATCACTTCGATCACTTTCAGCAAGAAACAGGGTAGGGGAGGAAGGACCTGGTACTTGCCCCAAAACTGAGTAACTCGTGCTCATTTCATTTGTATGCTCTTAATGTCAGATAGGCAGGCTAGGTGCGAGCAACTTTTATATAAATTTTATTTACAGAAGGCTATATTATTTTCTTTGAAAATACATCTAACATGTTTTTTGTCTTATTCTCATAATTAGCTTGGTATACCTGGAAAATTTCCTGCCTCTACCATGCTGTGAACTAGTCAACAAGGAAAGCAACTACTAATTACTAAATGGAGTATAATAACTTGGTGTGGAAGGGAACCTAAACAAGGATGAAAAGTAGAAGCATATCTATTTAGCCAAACTGGCTTCCTTGCAAGACATATCCTCGAATTGTTCCTTTATATATGTTTAATTTCTGAATCATTTTTCTGCCTCACATTCTTCAGCAAAGTCACTGGCAGCTTTTTGCAAAATCCTCTGCATCATACATCCATATTCTCCATACTCTTAACATTCAATCTCCTCTGGATTAATCCATGGGAAATTCTCTCACAGTCTCTTCTACTTTGGCAGTGCGTGGTCTGTTCAAGAAAAAGAAACCTCAGCCTCCGGCCATTGAGACCACATTCAAGCTTCCTGCTGCTCCACCAGTTTGGCCACCAGGTGTGCTTTCCCTTCTTGTCCTCTTCTTCCCTTCATTCTGCAACACAGATATTCTGATATGCTGTGGTTATGTTTCTTTGAGTAAAACCTCATTTTAATCCTCCTAATAAACCCAATGTTAATTGGCTCCCTTAAAAGATTTGTTGCATCACTTTACTTAGAACATTCTCTCAAAAATTGTGCAGTATTATTACTTAGAACATTTTCTCAAAAATTGTGCAGTATTATTTTATCATCCCTGGAAGGATCAGAGCCAGACTAAAATAAGACTTTCTAATGATGAATTGATACAAAAAAAAAAAAAAAAATTCGAGAGAGCCAATTGACGAGGCTATCTTTAGGGAAAAAATGGAGTTTTTGCTTCCTTCCTTTTCCTGTTAGCTTTTGCTTTATGTTTTGAATGGTCCTATACAGGTAAAGGATTTGCAACTGGAATCATTGATCTTGGTGGATTGCAAGTGTCTCAAGTTTCAACATTTAACAAAATTTGGACCACCTTTGAAGGTGGACCAAATAATGCCGGGGCAGCCTTCTTTGAGCCAACAGGAATACCTGAAGGATTCTCCATGTTAGGTTGCTATAGCCAACCCAACAACAAGCCTCTTTTTGGATGGGTTCTTGTGGCAAAAGATAACTCTCCAGCCAGCAATGCATCTCTAAAAGCTCCAGTTGATTATAAACTGATATGGAGCAGTAATTCTCAGAACCTCAAGCAAAATGGCCCTGGCTATGTTTGGCTACCAATAGCCCCAGATGGCTACAAAGCTGTAGGCCATGTTGTCACAACCTCCCCAGAAAAGCCTTCCCTCGACAGAATCCGGTGTGTCCGATCAGACCTCACTGACCAACCCGAGACATACTCATGGATTTGGGGACCAGGCAAGAACTATGACCCCAACGGACTAAATGTATATGATGCCAGACCAAGCAGCAGGGGAACTCAAGCTCAGGGCGTCCGTGTAGGGACCTTCATTGTTCAAAATGGAGGGGCCACTACCCCTCTATCTATTGCCTGCTTAAAAAACACGAATGGTAACTCAATCTCTATGCCCAATCTGCATCAAATAGAAGCAATAGTCCAAGCTTACTCTCCAGTAATGTACTTGCATCCTGATGAACAATATCTACCCTCCTCTGTGAACTGGTATTTCACCAATGGGGCATTGTTATACAAGAAAGGAGAAGAGTCAAAACCCGTCCCTGTACAGCCAAACGGCACTAACCTCCCTCAAGATGCCAACAATGACGGTGCCTATTGGCTGGACCTACCTGTTGATCAAAGCAACAAGGAAAGGGTGAAAAAAGGGAATCTGGAGAGCTTCCACGCTTATCTACATGTAAAACCCATGCTCGGAGGAACATTCACAGACATAGCCATGTGGATATTCTACCCTTTCAACGGACCAGCGAGAGCAAAAGTGGAATTCATCAATTTATCACTGGGGAAAATCGGCGAGCACGTGGGTGACTGGGAGCACGTGACACTAAGAATAAGCAATTTCAACGGCCAACTATATCAAATCTACTTCTCAGAACACAGTGGGGGTAGCTGGGTCGATGCCTCCCAGCTGGAATACCAAAACGGCAACAAACCTCTGGCGTATTCTTCGTTGCACGGGCACGCCATGTACGCAAAATCTGGACTTGTAATCCAAGGGAGTAGCGGAATCGGAATAAGAAACGACACAGATAAGAGCAACATGGTGGTGGATTTGGGGTCAAGATATGAGGTGGTATCTGCAGAGTATTTGGGTCCCGGGGTAGTGGCGGAGCCGCCATGGTTGAACTACTTCAGGCAATGGGGTCCGAAGGTAACTTATGACACAGAGGAGGAGATAAAGAAAGCAGAGAAGATGTTGCCGGGAAGGCTGAAATCTGCATTCGAGAAGATCGTGAGGGGATTGCCGAATGAAGTGCTCGGAGAGGAAGGGCCCACTGGTCCAAAGGTGAAGAGAAACTGGAACGGTGACGAAGCATGATCATTATATATATGGCCTTGGCTTTTAGGCTGTAAGCTTAATTTAGGATATTTATATTTGATCACAGGGTTGTTGCTTGTATTGATGAATTATGACCATGGTCCTTGGACAATAGTGTAGTTGTCTAAGATTGTTAATATAAAAAATGTGCAATTCTTTCAAAAGCGAAGCAACATAGTCAAACATAGGGTGTTTGTAATTGCAGTTAGATTCAGATTTCTTGGACATCTGGATGACTGGATCCATCGAGGTGAAACGAAACAAAAGTACTGTTTATTCTGTTATCCTTTTTTTTTATATATATATTTATAAAAAGCGCTTTTTCATTCAAAAGTATTTTTTTTAAAAATGTTTTGTCGTTTATTGAGATTTCATATTTAAAAAAGCACTTTTATTTATATTATTATAACCAAACATGATAAAAATCTCCTTTTTTATATAAAATAGTTTTAACCAAACACAAATTAAACAATCTAACTTCCCCCCACCCCTCAAAAATCTCTAAACAATCACTCATTTATTAAACAGTCTAATTTTTTAAAAGAATAAATAAATGGGGCCTATGAGTAGGATTATTCAGTGGATTATTTTCTTTCTCTCAATCTTTATTCCACTCAGCATGGTGTTATTTTGTTCAAACACAATGAATTTAAAGTCACATTGTTTCTTGTTTAAGTTCTGTGATGAAGAGGAATATAATCAAATTCTTCGTGGTCGACCATGGTCATGTGATGGTCATCTGTTGAATTTGTTAGAATGGAGGAGGTACATGACGACAAAGGACTGTGATTTTGGTCAATGTCCGATTTGGATTCAGCTGCATGGATCGCCGTTTGAGGCTTTTAATGTGGTTAATAACTTTTGTATTGGTAATCGTGTAGGGGAAGTAGTCATGATGGAGGATCCAAATCATAAAAATCAGATTCCTCAAAGTTGTATGAGGGTACGGGTTATATTGGATTAGAGGAAGCCACTTGCTATCGGGTTTTGGGTTCCAAAGCCAGATGGTGATTGGATGTGGTTATTTGTGAAGTATGAGGAACTTCAAAATTACTGCTTTCGTTGTGGTCATGTTGGGCATAATTTTCATTTATGTAGAAATGATAGATTGATGTTGATTTTTGATCCAATGCGGCCTATATATGGAACTTGGCTTGTAACTAATCAAATTAAGATGTGGGAAGACGCTGTGGTGATGGTTCGAAAGGATTGGCCAGAGGTTAATACTAAATGGTTAAGAATGAAAGATAAGAGACGTATGAAGGATATTAATGACTTTGTGGATTCTGATGATATTTTTGCTGTCCAAGTCAACGAAAAAAGAGCTGGAGGTAATAGTAAGAAGTGGAACCATAATGGTACTACTTGTGGTATTAATTTCAAAGAGCATGAGTTTGTTCATTCTGTAGTGACTCCTTCTATTGAGTTTTTGTTTAAAATAGGAAATAATGACCATAACGCTAGTCCGATAGCAGTAAGGAAATTGATGTTACTATTTGTTCTAAATCTGTTGAGACTCTGCAGAAGATGAATTCTTTGTACTATAATAATGAGGAGGGGAATGAAGTTAGCGAAGATTTGAGTAGAGCTTTAGTTCCAAATGTGGGGAAGGTACTCAATGAAGTAGTGGAAGGATTTAGTAGAATGGAACTAAAACATGTTGTAGATGAGGATTTGGAAGTTGATCTTAAAAAGAAGAGGAGGGTGGTTATTGAACAAGACCCTCAAGTGAACCCTATTTCCTTATATGCAGCAAGGCTGAAGAAAACAAAGATGAAAATGAGGAGGAATGCATAGAGGACTAGTAAAGGAATGTTGCAAGAGACTAGTGTACCAACTAAGAGGAGGGGAAGGAAGAGTAAATATGAAGGCATGGGTGGCTGGCCTCAAATAGCCCCCATGGTCTAATGAAGCTCATGTCATGGAACTGTCAAGGGCTAGGCCAAGCCTCAACAATTCAAAACTTGAGGGATTTTGCTCAAAAATATAATCCCTCTGTGATTTTTTTTGATGGAGACTAAAATGAAGTATGAGAATGCTAGCTAAGAGAATTAGAAGAAGATGTGGTATGGTTAATGAATTGTATGTTGAACCTTATAGATTGTCTGTGGTTTAGCTTTGTGGTGGACTAATGATGTTGTTGTTTCTATCATTTTTAGTTTAAAGGATCTGGTGCATGTGGAGATGTCTACTAGTGGTTTGAAGGTACCTCGATTTGTCACTTTTGTTTATGGTCCTCTGGAAGAAAGGGAGAGAAGAGTTATTTAGGGTAAATTGAGAGGTCTGGCTAATGGTGTGGTTGGTGAATGGTTGGTTGCTAGTGACTTTAATGATTTGTTAAGTTAAATGAGAAGGAAGGTGGTAGACCAAGAGCTTTTAAGAAGATTATGCAATTTCAATGTCTATTATTTGATTGTAATCTGTTAGATTTAGAATTTAAAGGGTCAAGGTTCATATGGTGTAATAGGAGACAGGGTGAAGCTTTTGTGGGGGAAAGTATTGATAAGATGTTGGGTAATGTGGAGTTTAGAGAGAAGTTTGAAAGGGCTGTGGTTTTTCACACTGAGCCTATAGGTTCTGATAAATATGCTCTTCTTATTGATTGTTGTTATTGTGATTTTAAGTCTCCTAAGGCTTTTAAGTTTGAGTTGAATTGGATTTCACATCCTGATTATTTAGTGACTATTAAAAAAGGCTAGAATGAAGTGGTTGTTCTAGATGGTTTTGGTATTGAGGATCTTGTTATAAGATTGAATGCTTGTAAGAAGGTTTTCTCGAATTGGAGTAAATAGGTTTTTCCTAATAAAGAAGAACCAAGCATGCACAGATAATGCATAAAACCAGAGCTACAAATGCACGAAGAGAGCAGGCTTTTCGGCTAGACACGCGAGCAGAAGAGAAGACCAAATAAAAACCCAGTAGAAGAGAAGATGGAGAAGAGCAGACGCCAGCTGCAGACACAGAGAGGGCGGAGAGAACACAAATTCACATAGAAAAAAAAGTCTAGTATGAACAAGAGAGGAGGAGACGTGTACGGCATTTTGTAGCTTCAATGATAAACTGAGCTCTCATGAAAAGCCAGATAAGGGAGACTGAGACAAACGGCAAAGACGGGGGGGCAAAAAACTGAAAGCAAAAATAGAGCATCGAGCTCTCGTTATGAGGAAAAAATTGGAGGGAAGAGATGAGAAACACAGTAGAAAAACCAAATGAGAGGGAAACTGGAGAAAGGAAGGGCCAAGACAAAATCATCATTTAGAGAAAAGAATCGAAGTGCATTCATTTCTCATTATGTCGTCTTCAAAAAACCAGCTAGAGCAGGAATAGAGATGAAGCGTCACATGCCTATGATGATGACAAGATGAAAAGCTAAAGATGGTGGATATTAATGAGCGAGTTGACTATTGGGCTACTGGGAACTCTAATGCTTCTGTGTATTTCGATGATAATCTGTTGTTCGAGGTATTCAAGCACGTGGACGTGAGGACGCTGGTCATGGCGGCTTGTGTGAGCAAGCAGGTTGAGGAGCTCGATAGGGAGATGGGACTCATTCTTACACAAGAAGAAATTGGAAGGCATGTTAGAATGTTGACCCATGAGATTAGGAGCACTCTTGACCGACATACCATTTTGAAGACTACACTGGTTGAATTGGGAAGGATTCTAGGCTTGGAATAATGTGCGCTGTGGATGCCATCAAGAAGTGGTATTATAAGATATCTGACGTGTCTAGTCTAGGTACATTTAGTTTTGTATGGTTGATTTCAAATTGCCTTTCAAGCTTTTTAATTACCATGTTTTAGAAAAATGCAACGTGTGGTAGCATGGTTTGATCCTTACATTAATCTTTGTTCATTCGTGGCAGTTTGTTCATGCGTACTGGTAATCACGGCTAATAACATACATATACCTCATGATGCTTTATATTTCCATATGTTGTCATAAGAGGCTAATGTATAAAAAGAAAAAGATGTATGTGTGTGTGTTTAAGAATCTACATAGAGACTTAAATTAATCACATCATTGTGTGACATAATAGGTCCCCGCAAATATTGTGGTATTCAATTTGTATATATTACATGAATGAATTTTGTAAAAAAAATAATAAACATTTTTTATACTATTAATTGATTAAATTAATAAATTTAAATTATAATCACATTTTTTAATTAAATTTTTTAGTCATGTGAGATTTTTGAAACTCTGTAGATCATTAGGATAATCGTACTACCATGTGAGTCAATAAGGCTTCGCAGTATAACGATTAAGATTTTTATATTAAAAAATATACATTATATAATTATGCATTAAAATATATTTAAAGTGAATATTATTTAGTTCTTTTATTGTGTGAGATTTTAAATCTCTGTGGATAATTAGGATAATCTCGTATTGTGTAAATCAATAAGGTTTCGCAAATGTGAGAATAAAACTTATATTTTAATATGGGTTTTAAAAGCTCATCATTAAAAGTAACCCTCTTTTTTTATATATAATCCAAATTAATAATTTATTTAAATTTCATGTGAAATTTTAAAAATTTTCGTAGAGACTTAAATTAATCACATCATCGTGAGGAATAATAAGTCCTCGTAGATGCAGTGATTTTTAATTTTTATAATAAATAAATAATTTTTTGTAAACAATGATATAATATACAATTTAGAAAATTAATTAACCAAATTAATGTATTTAAATTGTAATTATATTTACCAATTATATCTTTTAGTCATGTAAAATTTTTGAATCTCTATAAACTTTTAAGATCATCGTATTATCGTATGAGTCAATAACACTCTGCAGATATAATGATTAAATTTTTAAAATATATATATATATATATTAATTAAATTAAAGATGTATTTAAATTTAATTTTTTTATCGTGTGAGATTTTAAAATTTCTACAGATATTTAGGATAATCATACTACTGCATAGGCCAATAAGGCTTTGCATGTATGTCGATTAACAATCTTTAAAATACATACATACATACTTAAACAAATTATTACTAACACTTAAAAATATACATAAGAATATAAATAAATAACTTAAATTGCTAAATTCTTTTATCGTTTGAGATTTCAAAATCTTCACAGATATTTAGAATAATTGTATTACCGTACGAGCCAATAAGGCTCTGTAGATATTGCGATTAAATTCTCGATCATAAAATATAAAAATAAAAATAAAAATAATTCTTAAACTCATTTCTTTTTCTTTATTCCAAAAAATTCAAAAATTAAAAAATAATTAAAATTAAATTACTTTTTACAATTTAAAACATACATATCAAAATTTCAGAAATTGTGTTGTTTGTAAAATGATGAATTATTTCTAAATAATTTGTCTTCAAAAAAATATTTTCACTAACAACTTTTAAGCCCAAATTATGTGGACTTTGATCTCCATCACAGGGTATGTAGACCTTAGAGTTAAATTCTGAGTCAAGTCCTCCCTCATAAATAAATAAATATTTCTCACTTAATTCTTATCATTTTTATATCAAGCACACAGATATAAAAGGGATAATTAAAATAATTTTAAAACTAAATTAATATAACATAACAAACTTTAAGTAATCGTTCTGACGAATGGGTGTTGTGGGTTGCCTAACATCTTCCCCACACTCAACCGACTCTCGAACCTATTCTCTAATTTCACAGACCACTCTTATCATCCTTTAATTAGTTTCTCAAGATTTCTCTTAAAATCTTGGTGGCGACTCCTCATTCAACGGCCGCGAAGGCCAGGGCCTCCATTCGCGCACCATCCACATCGTATTTTTCGGGTGCAACAAGTCACTTAATTGAAGATTTACAAAAAAACTGGCTCATTATCATGAGTAGGTTTTGAATGAAGAGACTGTGGTAGAAATTGAGCATTTGATTATGTCTATTGAGGAGGTTTGGTGTAGGGAAGAGGTGTTTTGGTGGTAAAGGTCAAGAATTAAGTGGTTAAATCATGGTGATAGAAATACAAGATTTTTTCATAGCAGTGTAGTTCAGAGAAGGCAAAGAAACAAGGTTTTGAGACTTAAAAGATTCTAATGGAAGTTGGTTAAAGGATAGAGCTGAAATTGATAAGGCTTTCTCTAAACTTTATTGGAATTTGTTCTCTACTAGGGAGTGTAATGCTTTTGAGGAGTTTTTTGTGGTATGTGAAAAGGGTGGTTATGGAAGAGGACAATAATTTATTGATGCAGCCTATCATTAATTTAGACATTGAGAATGTTGTTTTCCAATTGGGTTCAACCAAAGCTCCTAGACTTTGTGGTTATTTTGTTGTTTTCTATCAATCCTCTTAGAGTATTGTGAAGGATGTGGTTTGTCAAATGGTATGTGATTTTTTTGCAGGTAAGAGTGATTTATCTCTAATTAATGCTACTAATATTGTCCTCATTCCTAAGATTGACAAGCCTGAAGGGGTAGGGCATTATAGACCAATTGGTTTATGTAATACTGCATACAAAGTCATAGCTAGGATTCTTGCTAATAGAATGAAGGGGTTTGGTGTCTAGAATCATTTCTCCTAATTAGAGAGCTTTTGTTGCTAAGAGACTAATCCAAGATAACATAATAGTGGCACATGAGGCTTATCATTATTTGAAGAACAAGGTGTCTGGTGAGAAATGAGAATTTGCTTTAAAAGTTGATATGAACAAGGCATATGATAAGGTGGAGTAGAAATTTATTGAAGTTGTGATGCTGAAAATAGGGTTTTGTGCTCAGTGGTTGCAATGGGTTATGATTTGTGTCACATCTGTGAGTTTTAACTTACAGCTTGCTAATAGATCTGTGACTAGTTTTACTCCTGGCTGAGGATTAAGACAAGGTGATCCCTTGTCACCTTATTTATTTATCATTACGGTTGATGTGCTTTCTCTTATAGTTCAACGTCACATTGATAGGAAGGAGTTGAGAGGGTGAAATTGGCACAAAGAGCAGCAATTTTGTCTCATTGTTTTTTTGTTGATGATGCATTGTTCTTCATGAATAGTGATTTGATTAATTGTAAGGAGTTGAAGAGGATTTTAGAGACTTACTATGCTGCTTTTGGTCAAAGGGTGAACTATGATAAATCCCATATATACTTTTCTACCAATACACCATAGAATAAAAGAGAGGAGGTGGAGGTTGTGTTGGGGATTAATTCTTCTGATCAACCAGAGAATTATTTAGGGTTACCTATTTTATAGGGCAGGTCTGAATCAACAGCATTGGCTAATGTGAGAGATAAAATTGGGAAAAAACTACAAGGTTGGAAGCAGTATTTGTTATCCTTTGCTGGAAGAGAAGTTCTAATTAAGGCAGTAGCTAATTCTATCCCTACATACCCTATGACATGTTTCTCTTTTCTTGTCAAGTCTTGTAAAGAGTTGGATAGACTTATTTCTAACTTTTGGTGGGATAATAATGGAAGTGGTAGTAATATGCATTAAAAGAAGTAGGAGACTCTCACTATGCCTAAAGGGGAAGGGGGACTTCCAGAGCTTCAATAAAGCATTATTGTCCAAGACTGCTTGGAGGATTCTTACTAGTCCAGATGAATATTGGTGTAGGATGTTAAAAAGTATCTATTTTCCTAAAGGTGACTTTTTACAATATAGGTGGATCAAACCAGATGAAGGCTGTTTCAAAGTAATATTGATGGTGCTTTTAAATTTAAAGGTGAGGTTGCTGATGTTAGTTTGATTTGCAGGTCTAGTGATGGTCAATCTCTTGAATGTTTGGGAAAACTTGTGGTAGCAGTTATTCCTTTTATGGCTGAAATTCTGGCTTGGAAAGAAGCATTGATATTTTGCGAAGCTCAAGCATTCCCTTGGGTTTGTATTGAAATAGATTGTGAGATGCTGTTTAAGCTTTTGATTCAGGACTCTTGTATTGGTTGTGAATGGCAGAGTCTGGATGCGTTAGAAGAAGTTTTTGTACTGTCAAGGTTACTACAGAATGCGTCATTTTCTCTTGTTTCTAGAGAAAGGAATAGAGTTGCTGATATGCTGGCAACCCTTGGTACAAAGAAGATGATGCAACCTGTTTGGTTGGCTGATATACCATCTTCTTTAATTGAGGTCTTATGCAATGATTTATGTTATAGTGCTATAGTTAATTTCGATGAAGTAGGAATTGGTTGAATTTTTGTCAGTGTTTTTTTTTTTGGTGTTTGGTGAGTTTTTTTTTGTTTGTGTTTTTGAGTGTTTATTTTGGATTTCACTGTTAGTATTTGTATTACTTTCTTTTGGTGATTAATAATATTGATTCTTTTTTGCTAAAAAAAAAGTCACACGGTTTCTTAGTTACCATCAAATCAAAACACCGACATATAACCACAAGCAACCAAATTATTAATTATTTATTTAATATACAAGTTAGAAAAGGTCTTGAGCGGTTTTTTGTCATTATTAATGTACGTGAGTACAAAAGATCATGCCAGGCTGTGAAGTAGATGCAGCTTGAGAAAGTAATTAAGACGCAGCTTTTTTTTTTAGCCAACGTAAGATGCAGTTAATGTATCAAACCACATGAGGGCCATTTGCAATTAGATTCTCTTTTACCATCCACATGTCTTTAATTTTTTTTAAATAATTACTCTTAAATCGCACACAATATTTTAAAGTTCATTGACAATTTAGTATAATAAATAGACAACTATATAGTTATGCATTTGCTATACCCCCTTCCTTCATCTATACACTGCAATTAAACAAAGGAAGGAAATAAAGTTGGAATCCAATTATATATATATACATATATATTCTCTCCGATTATAAGAATGACGTCAAAAGTAAAAAAATTACTTCTCTGTTAGTTTTTTTTTTTATTCATATGTCACGGTTATCATGAAATCCCATACGTTACATACATATAGTTGTGTGTATTAATTAATATATAGATATAATCCTTCATTTTCTGAAATGTTCAGCTTGTTGACACTTTCTTTGGTAGAAAAATGATTGCTTCATTGTGCATAATTAATCAAAGAAAGACCTTGAGTTAAAATGTATTTTTATCCTGGATTTGTTTTTAATAAGTGTTGAGTACCTTGTATTAATAAATGAGGAATAGAGGGGGATTTTTATTTTCTCTACAAAATAATTTAAGAAAAACATGTTTTATTTATTAATATAAAATGTTTAAAATATAGAGACAAAATAACGAGACAACAAGTTTTATTCCATTAGGTAAAGTTAGCTATATAAATTATATAATATCATGATGTTCTATCATGTATTAAGTTTTTAGAATGCGCCATTGTGCTCACCACTTTAACTCAAATAATTAAACAAATTTAATTTGCTGTAGAATCCGCCATGAAGGTTTGCTTCATAATGTTAGACTTGGACACAAACAAGTGGTTTCGTAATGGGAACAATCTCCTACAAATAAGAGCAACTCCGATCCTCGTTTTCAATGGTCGTTTTTTGCTAATTTGATCTTCGTGTTGACTTTTGCACCCTCTCCATATATTCCTGCGAAGAATATATGCTTTCTTATCTGTGCGCGCGCGCGCGCGCATAAAGCCAATCAGCCTTGTTCACCATACACAATACAGATTAATTCAACCTCCTCTGAAATAAAGTATAACTCATCAACAATGGGGAACCGTTCTTCTTCTTCAAATAAAAGAAAAGCTCTTCCCATTGACACTCCATTCAAGCTTCCTGCTGAAATCCCAGTTTGGCCCCAAGGTCCATATTCCCTTTCCTTCTTCATATTCCTGTTTATATAGTTCTGACATTGTTCAAAACTTTAGTATTGAAATGATCCGTGTTATCATTCACGTATGCTTTTTATGCAGGTAATGGATTTGGCAGCGGAAGCATTGATCTGGGTGAGCTTCAAGTGTCTCATGTTTCAAGCTTTAACAAAGTTTGGGCCACTTTCGAAGGAGGACCCGCCAATGCCGGGGCTACTTTCTTTGAACCAGCTTCCATTCCTGACGGATTCTCCATTTTAGGTTCCATGCCCAACCCAATAACAAGCCTCTTTCTGGATGGATTCTTGTGGCTAAACAAAATTCTTCTGCTGAAATTAGTGCAGCTCTAGCAAAACCAGCTGATTACACTCTGGTCTGGACTAGTAACTCTCTGGATATCAAGCAAGACAACACAGGCTATATCTGGTTACCAACACCTCCTGATGGTTACAAGGCCATCGGCCATGTCGTCACTGCCTCGCCGGAGAAGCCTTCCCTCGACAGAATCCGATGTGTCAGGTCAGACCTCACTGATCAATCCGAGACACACTCATGGATTTGGGGACCGGGCAAGAGAAGCAGTGACTCAGAAGGGTTCAATATCTACAACACAAGACCAACAAGCAGAGGAATTCAAGCTCCAGGTGTTCCTGTAGGCACTTTTCTTGCTCAGAATGGAGAAACTAATGGCACTCTTTCAACATCCTGCTTGAAAAATACCAAACTTGACTTCTCCTCCATGCCTAATCTACCCCAAGCTGAAGCATTAATGGAAGCTTATGCTCCATTGATGTACCTTCATCCTGATGAAAAGTATCTCCCTTCTTCAATCAAGTGGTTTTTCACAAATGGGGCATTACTCTGTACCAGAGGTGAAGAATCAAAAACTGTTATAATAGATGAATTTGGCTCTATCCTTCTTCCTCAAGGAGGAGACAACGACGGAGCATACTGGATAGACCTTCCTGAAGACGAAACCAACAGAGAAAAGGTCAAAAGAGGAGATTTAGGTAGCTTCCAAGCATACTTACATATAAAACCAATGTTTGGAGCAACATTCACAGACATTTCCATCTGGATTTTCTACCCATTCAACGGCCCATCAAGAGCCAAATTGGTCTTCATCAACATCCCGTTGGGGAAAATCGGCCAACACGTGGGAGACTGGGAGCACGTGACACTGAGAATAAGCAACTTCAATGGCGGATTAAACAGCATGTACTTCTCCCAACACAGTGGAGGCCAATGGGTGGACGCGTCGGAGCTCGAATTCGAACCGGAAAAGAACAAACCCGTCGCATATTCTTCCCTAAACGGCCATGCGATGTACGCAAAACCTGGGCTGGTTCTTCAAGGAACAAGCTGGATTGGGATAAGAAACGACACGGCGAAGGGCGGCAAGGTAGTGGATTTGGGGGACAGATTTGAGGTGGTTGCAGGGGAGTATTTGAAGCCGCCGGTGACAGAGCCGACGTGGGTGAATTATCGGAGGCAGTGGGGCCCGAAGATAAGGTACAAGATAGAGAACGTGGTGCCGAAGAAACTGATGGGATCGCTGCCGAATGAGTTGTTCGGAGAAGAAGGTCCCACAGGACCAAAGTTAAAGAGAAGTTGGAGCGGAGATGATGACTGAATTCAACCCTCATGGCTTCGTTAATTTTTTTTTTTTTTTTGTTTCTTTGGGGGTAAATGGCTTCGTTGCATTGATTGCATATAATTTAGTCGAAAACATAATTATTCATCCTCCACTTTTATTGACTTTTGTTTTAGTTTTTATAATTTTTTTAATATTTTTGATCATTTTAATAAAATTAGGTAATGTTTGTTTCTTAAATTGCTAACGATATTAAATTATAATAGAGATTATAAAACCTGAAAAATACTTAAAAGAATTACAGACTAAAAGTAAAACTTTATAAATTTATAACATCAATATTAAGACTGTATAAAATATTGAACAGAACTGAATTTCAACATAACTTAAAGTTTGACCTCTTTTATAAAAAAATTAGGTTAAATAACCTGTAATTTAATCTGGCCTAGTCTAGTGATAATTCAAAAATTAATAAGATTAAACTTGATTTATAAGACTAAAAGACTGATCATATTAATTCAGTATTTGTTTTTTTTTTTCTATGAGAGAGGTAATAATCCTTCTGTCTTTCTTTTTTTTTAAAGGCAAATTTGACCGAAATTTCAACTTTAAAGAGTTTAAAATCTAGTTTTTGCACGTTCGCACCCTCTTAAACCATTGTCTATCAGTTTCCCCCCTTTCTACATGGCTTTTTTTTTTGGACCACTTTATATAAACACCATAAAATCCTAAATAAAACCCCAACATCTAAAAATGTTATAGTTAAATTTAATCCTGATTATCTTATGTCATAATACGTTAAAGAGACCGAAAACTATTTATACCCATCCGTTTTGGTATTTAAGCTCATTTAAATTTCTCATATTCCTTTTGGTGTTTTTATCGTAAACTGAAATTTTATGACCAAAATAGCTGTGTTTCTTAGACTCTGTGTGTGTGTTGTAACTTAAACTCAAATTATTGGAGGATAATTATGTTTCTGTGGGTGTCAGCATGATAATAGAAGAATTCAAAAAATTTGTTTCAAAGTAAAGCTAATGGGAAATTAATCAAATTTCGTGTCATATCTAATACCACAATTAAAGTTGGGAAAATGGGCCGAGCCCGTTGGGCTAGCCCGTTTAAGCCTGTATAAGAGTAGGACCGAGCTTGTAAATAGGACTTCAAAATGGTAAATCGACCTTAAACGGCCCGTTTAATCTAGGGCTTAAAAGGGCCAGCCCTACAGGGCTGAGGGCCAGCCCGTTTAAGCCCACATATGTATTTTTTTAATTAATTTTCATAATTTTTACTCTTTTTACATTTGAAAAAAAATTAAACTAAATGTTACTCCACATTACATGTTAGCCCATATTTATTGAGAATGGAAGGTAAAAAAGAAGAAGGAAAAATAGCAATAAAGAATCACTAATCAAAAATTATATCAGTCAAAGATCACTTATTGTCAAAACTCGAGTAGATACTTGTAATTCGAGTTAGCTTTTATCAATAAGTATTCATTTAGATTTTAATAACAACTCATTTTAAATTAACAATAGTTCATTGTAGCTTGTTTTTCATTCAGGTTTTAACAATAATTGATTCTTAATTGATATAAATTTCATACAGAAATCTTTGGCTGCTATTTTCTAAAAAAACATACAACCTTAAATCCCCTAATTCATCTAGATCCATGATAATGATTCATTCAGTTTAACATTTACTCTTCTAAATTTAATTGGGTGTTTGTCAGCTTAACCGATCTATTACTTATTGCATTGTTATTATTTTATTTATGTTTTTAGTTCATTTAGATGTTATTTAGTTAGTTTTTTTATATCTTTTTTGATTGAGTATTATATTAGAATGAAGTAATTTTTTTTTGATTAAAAAATTAAAAAAAATAGTTAAAAGGGCCTAAAGCCCGCAGGGCCGGCCCTGAGCCCGTCATGTCAAGGGCCGGGCTTCGAAAATCAAGGTTCTAAAAGAAATTCAGACTTAAAAGGGCTGACCCTTTTAAGCCCGAGCCCTTCAAGGGCTGGCCCTACAAGACCGGACCGGCCTTTTTTACCAGCTCTAACCACAATGCGTATTTCTCTTTCTTGGAGGTAATCACAATGACTAATTTATTATTTTTATTTTATTAATAATTTATTACACGAGGAAACTTCTGCCGTGCGAAACGTGACATATATTATTAGTTTATTACTTGTAAAGGTCTCATTTCACATTTAGCATTTGTTTATATTTGTTTTTAACTTATCCTAAGTTTCTTTTTCCTAATTAAAAATTAAACACGAGGCATGCAAGATGTTGGTTGTTATAACTTGTGAGATTAGATGAATTGCGTTTTAATGCTTATCATAGAACTGAGTCTTGAGAAATCATCAGATCTAAAATATTTAAATTTAACATGGATGGTTTATATTTATAGTTTTTTATTTTTATTTTTTACAAAAAAATATTTTAAAGGATATATAATCCAAAATAAAGGCAATTTTTTAATTGTCAGTTTTTTTAAAAATATTTTTACTTAAAAAACTGTAAATTTAGATTATGAAAATTAAATTTGAAAGGCTCATAGGCAATGAGTTTTTAGTGCTCATTTTTTTATGAGTAGTAAAACTGATTCCCAAAACTAAATCCATAACACTTTTGTTTTGTTTTATATAACAAAAAAATAAATTGCAAAACCTATACATGCAATGACTCAATTTGTGGAGTATATAGTTATCCTTATCTATTTATTAAATTTGATATTATTTGCTGAGGCCTCACGTTTCTTTCTTTATCTCTTTATTTTTTTATTAAAAAAATTAGAGAGAAGGTAAGGAGATGAGATGAGATCCATATCATCCGACAACCTCAAAAAAATGCTGTAAGAAATAAAAATAAAATAAGGCAATAAATAAGATAAGATATTTAAATTTAATATGATATAAAAATGACATTTAATTTAAATTTTTATTAAGATGAACATGTTACGAAAATAGAACATAAAAAATAATATTCATATCCCATACTAAAAACGTTTTCAAGATATATAGTAATGATAAAAATTATTATTAAAAAATAGGGAAAATAATTTGTTTAATAATCAATTTTAATTACCGTGCGTTGTACTATGAAAATAACTGTTATCTATCCTACTAAACGGAAATCACTCAGGATTATTCCGGGTTCGTCACGCAGTCACAGTACTCATCAATTACCTTGACATATCTGGACAATTTAAATTTAATTTTTTTAATTTTTATTTTATATTTATTTAAACAAAAAATTACAAATTTTTTAAATAATTTATCATATCAATCGGGACATGCAGCTTTAATCTAGATAGTTCAATTTAATTTTAATATTTTTATAATTTTTATAAATTATATATTCAAATGTATTTTGGATATTATAGATTTAAAATTATTTTTTATAATTTTTTGTTTTAATAAATACAATATTAAAAAAGATAATATCTTAACTGGAACTTTTCTTTTGAAAAATATTTTTAAAAAAATTTATTAGTTCAAACTTTTAAATATGGAATTTATAGGGTAAATCTAAGTAGCTAATTTATAAAATTATTAAAAATTTAAATTTAGATTGTCCAGTTGCTAATAAATAAATTTATTAATTTTTTTATAATTTATATAATTTTTTATTTTATTAAATACTAAATGAAAATATAAATTTTAAATTTTAAATTTGAATAATCGAGATTAAATTATTTGGATGATCCAGATTTTATTGTGCTGATGAGCACCGCTTGATGAAGATGCTCCGGATCATTCAGTGGTCTGCCTTCTCCAAATAGTTGTTTAACCTAACATGTTTTTTTTTTTTTTAAACTAATCTCCGTCAGATTAAAACACCAACACTAAGACAAATCACCGAAATGTAATTACGACGATTACTTTAATTTTAAAAACAAGGTTTGGACTGTTTGATATCATTATTACTATACGTACAAATAATCAATTGTCATTCAAGGCTATGTGAACTGTGAAGGAGATATGTGAACGGAAGAAGCTTGAGAAATTAATGAAGATGCAGCTCACATTATAAAAACACATGTGGTCCTCATGAAATTAAATTATCTTGTGTATCCTCCACATGTGTGTTTTGTTTTCTTTATTACGCCCTCCATTTACGAAATTCAATACAACGTGGAAATTGAATTTCATCTTCACACCCTCCATCTATTGATCAGCACATTGCCATTAAACCAAGGGAGGGGATAAGCTTGGAATCCTATTATAATCAGAATCACAAAATCACAAAACTTAAAAGAAACTTAATTGTACATTAGTAGTTTTATTTTTATTTATTTATGTGTCACATTTAATGAAATGCACCGCAAGTAACATACGTATACTTTGATGTATTACGGAATAATTATAAGCGATGAAGTTTCCTTGGGAATTGATAATTAATGGACTAATTGGAAGCACGACAACATGTTTCGTAATGGGAACTTCTACAAAAGAGAGCAAATCCCCCACGTTTTCATTGGTTGCTAATTGCTATTTGTATTTCTTTTTCGTCTATGAATTATTACGAATTCGTGTTGACTTTTGTATCCTCATCTCATATTTCTCAGAAGAATATGCTTCAGTACATATATAAAAAGCCAATCAGCCTTGTTCACCATATACATTCAGATTCGACCTCCTCTGAGATAAACTCAACAATGGGGAACCAGTCTTCTTCCAATAAAAGAAAAGCTCTTCCCATTGACTCTCCATTCAAACTTCCAGCTGGTACCCCAGTTTGGCCCCAAGGTTCAGATTTCTTTCTTCTTATTCTTGTATGGTTCCAATATTGCTGCAGACTCTTGAGCTGAAATGGTCTCTGTGTAACTATTCTTACACTTCCTGTTGCAGGTGATGGATTTGGCAGGGGAATCATTGATCTCGGTGACCTGCAAGTGTCTCAAGTTTCAAGCTTTAACAAAGTGTGGACCACTTTTGATGGAGGACCAGACAATGCTGGGGCTACTTTCTTTGAACCAGCTTCCATTCCTGATGAATTCTCCATGTTAGGTTGCTATGCCCAGCCCAATAATAAGCCTCTTTTTGGATGGGTCCTTGTGGCCAAGCCAAATTCTTCTGCTGAAAATGGAGCTTTAGCAAAACCAGTTGATTACACTCTGGCCTGGACTAGCAAGTCTCTGGACATCAAGCAAGACAACACAGGCTATTTCTGGTTACCAACACCCCCTGATGGCTATAAGGCAGTCGGCCATGTCGTCACTGCCTCGCCGGAGAAGCCTTCCCTCGACAGAATCCGGTGTGTCAGGTCAGACCTCACGGACCAAACCGAGACACACTCATGGATTTGGGGACCAGGCAAGAGCAGCAGCGACTCAGATGGGTTTAATGTCTACAACACAAGACCAACCAACAGAGGAATTCAAGCTCCAGGTGTTCCTGTAGGTACTTTCCTTGCTCAAAATGGAGGAACTAATGGAACTCTTTCAATAGCCTGCTTGAAAAACACCAAACTTGACTTCTCCTCCATGCCTAATCTTCCTCAAGCTGAGGCATTAATGGAAGCTTATGCTCCATTGATGTACCTTCATCGGGATGAGAAGTATCTTCCTTCTTCTGTCAAGTGGTATTTTGCAAATGGGGCATTACTCTATACCAGAGGTGAAGAGTCAAAACCTGTTGCAATAAATGAATCTGGCTCTAACCTTCCTCAAGGAGGAGACAACGACGGAGCATACTGGATAGACCTTCCAGAAGACAAATCCAACCAAGAAAGGGTCAAAAGAGGAGATTTACAGAGCTTCCAAGCATATTTACATATAAAACCAATGTTTGGAGCAACATTTACAGACATTTCCATCTGGATTTTCTACCCATTCAACGGCCCATCAATAGCTAAAGTGGTCGTCCTCGAAAAGATCTCACTGGGGCAAATCGGCGAACATGTGGGCGACTGGGAGCACGTGACGCTGAGAATAAGCAACTTCAATGGCGAATTAAACAGCGTATACTTCTCCCAACACAGCGGAGGCCAATGGGTGAACGTTTCGGAGCTCGAATTCCAATCTGGGAAGAATAAACCCGTCGCATACTCTTCCCTAAACGGCCACGCGTTGTACTCAAGACCCGGTCATGTTCTTCAGGGTACAAAGACGATCGGGATAAGAAACGAGACGCAGAAAAGCGAGAAGTTTGTGGATTTGGGGAAGGGATTTGAGGTAGTAGCAGGGGAGTACTTGGGGTCGGCGATATCGGAGCCGGCGTGGCTGAATTATCGGAGGCATTGGGGTCCGAAGATAAGCTACAAGATAGATGAAGAGCTGGATAAGGTGGAGAAGGTGTTGCCGGAGAATCTGAGAAGTGGGTTTCGGAAGTTTCGGGATTCTTTGCCGAATGAGTTGTTCGGAGAAGAAGGTCCCACCGGACCTAAGTTGAAGACAAGTTGGAGCGGGGATGAACGCTGAATTCAACTCTCAAGCCTATCGTTGCATTGCATGCCCAACCTTTGGGAAACATCATGTCAATTAGTACTGTGTTTTTACTTTTTTATTTGTGCGAGTCGCCGAGTAGTTTTGATTTATTTTCAACGTAGGTTTTCAGTGTAATCTTTCCATCTTTCTTATAAATTATTTTTATTAATCTCATTAAAATTAATAAAAAAATACAAAAAATATAATTATATAAAATTTTAAATGCATCTTTATTTACCAAATTTAAAAAGTAATATCGTATTAATTTTTTATAAAAAATAATTTTTAAAATATTATCTAAAATATAATATTGTGACTTATAAATAAGGTTAGGTAAACTTTTTAAAATGTGCTTTATAAATGAAATTGAAGAGAGTATTCATTTTAACTTTGGTCACACAATGTACTACCTCCAGTGCCCTAAGCATTTTTGTTCTTGCTAATAATTTTAGTTTAAAATATAAGTAATTTAATATTTTTAAAAATAATTTTCATTTTATCCCTTCTATTTATTAATATAAATTTTTAGATCTATGAATTTATGACTTTATTTTTACTTATCATAACTTAAAAACTGTTTATATTTTACATGGAAGGAGCTTTTTTTTTTTTTCAGTACGTTGAAGATTATAACATGGTTTTTTGTTTTTTTGGGGCAAACTCAATTGTAGAGCTTTGCATCAATGGGTTGTTGTGTCCTAAATGAAAAAACCAATCAATGAAGAGTTATAGTAAGGTCAAAAAAAAAAAGTAATGAATAATTATCAATAAAAACAAAAAAAGAAAAAGAAAGAGAGGGGGATTGTTCTGTCATTTCTCCCCCTGTAAAATGCTCTCGAGCCTCAACTGAATCATATACGTACACAATCTAAAATTAATTGTTAATATTAAGTTTTTCAAAAATTACAGCATTTTTCTAAAATTAGTCTTAATTAAGTTAATCAATCCTTTCTATCATTATGGCAAGGACATTTTCCAGGGGTCTTTAATATAAAATCTCTTATCTTAAGCATTAATCTTTTTCTTTTCTAAATGTTTTTTTATTTGATATTCCTTAACTAACTAAATAATTTTGTAATTAACTAAAAAAATTATAATTGAGGGTAGTTTTATTGAGTTATTGTTGTATATGGGGTTTGTTTGATGAAAAAAATGCTACTTATTTATGTACAAATATTATACATCTACTTAGGTATAACTAGAAAATCTCTCAACAATGTGATTTTAAATATGATTATTTCTAATAAATATATATCTCGTGCATTACATGGACATTAATATATTGTGAATGTTTCGGCAAGAAAATATAGTATGAATATTCAAAAAGGGGGAGAGATAAAAAAAAAAAAAAACGTGTCCTCGTGCAAGGACACCCTACAGCCACACCCCTTTCATCATGCGTTAATCACACATCTGGTGGCTATTGATAATTGCATAATTTTAAAATATATAATTATTTGATTGAATTATATTTGAGTATTATCAGATTCAATTAGGAATGACTCTTTTAAAAATGCTTCCTGTATTTTTATGGACTCAAACTCGAGACTTTATATAGTGACAATATTTTGTTCTACTAAAATCAATATCTATTGGTAATTAATCACTTAATCTGAAAATGAAGTGACCACAGTAACAAAATGATAGCTTTCAAGAAAAAGACCCAATTGAAGTCCAAAATCCAAATACTTCACTAAGCTCTTTGTAATAAGGGTCTATTAACATCTTTTTACATATTAAAGAATTCAGATAAAATTAAATAAAAATTTTAAATTTTTAAAACTACTTTCAGTAAATTTCATTAATTATAAAATATTTCTTAACTAATTACGATATTATTTAGCAAATTAAAAAATATCAAATTAAAAGATATTTAAAGAAAAAATTAATGTTTTAGAAAATAGTCTTATATTAAAGACGAGAAGAAAAGTCATAACAATAAGGACTGTAGGGATTATATTGGAACATCATATTCACACCTAACTTGGTAGTTAACTTGGTCTTTAATCACTTGGTAGACAACATCTAGTTTTGGTGCACAACAGTTCCACATGTTAGATTTTTTTTTCCCCCGGTTCAAATGGTGTTTATTTATAAATACATAAAAAATGGCATTAAAATCAAGCACCACCTGTCTACAGATTTTTTTTGGTTGTTGAATAATTATCTACCTCTTGATTATTCCTGTTTATTGACCTAGTCATGGTCCTGATTAATTTTATTTATTTTTTTAGTTGCTGTCCAAATTTTTATTCTACATATAAGCATCTTCCTTATCTGTCAAATGACCGAAAAAAAAACCTCTAAGCTCTTAGTTTTTTTTTTTGGTTAATTAAAGATATATATATATATATATATATATTTAGGCCATTCATTACCCAAAGAAAAAATAAAATAGACTATATACATAGGCCTTACTTTAATAATGTTTTGTGTATCTTCCTAACATAAATTAAAAACTTCACTAACATTTTTTTATGTGCTCACAGTAAAATTTATATACACGAAACCAACAACAGTTGAGTCAAGTGAAGGGGATTCACTTTGGCCAAAAAAAAAAGTGAAGGGGATTCAATTATCTTTAAATAAAATAAAAATGTTAAATATTGTAAATAGAAAAAAATCACATCGAAAAAAAATCATATATAATTATATTTCACAATATTTAAATATGACATAATATATAGTATTTGATGTGCTAAATATGTACTCCCTCCGTCTTAAATTAGAAGACACTTTTAAATAAAATTTTATAAATTAATAAACTTTATTAAATATACTTAACAACCTTATCTTTTCAAAATAAAAATATAAAATTGTAAAAATACCTATAATTTAATATATTAAAAAAATAAGTAATAAAAATTAACTATAGACAAATAAAGGGTAAAATTAGAATTAGTATATTTAATAAAACTTTAATCTATTTAAAATGTCTTATATTTTGAGATAAAAAAACTTCTTTAAAAGTGTCATATAATTTAAGACGGAGTGAGTAATACAATGAACCGTTTTATAACCCCCAACAATATATTCAAATATTGCATAGATATTAATAATATAAATATAAGGTATATAACATTTAGTTTCCAGAAATAAAAAAATAATATGACCTTTCCATGTGGATTTGGCTAGAATTAATTTTATTTGCCCGGAATTTTTGAAATTAAGGCTGCATTCTTGAAATCATTCGAATCCTATAATCAAAGTTTATCTTCAAGTGAATAAGGAGGTTAAAAAAAAAAAAACAGGGAGAGGAAACAATAAGAATAAGCAAAAAGAGAGAAATCAATGTTTATACACAACCTCATTCCTTATATTGTGAAGAATTTGGATAATTCCATCGATAGGCCACGAATGTTGAAATGTCTCTTACACGACAGGAGAGTAAAATAAAAATAAAAATTGAGAGTGTAATTGAATAACGTCTACTTTGTCTCAGTATATACTATTTGATCTCATTACGTGTTCTTTTCCTACTTTGTTGTCATCAATTTCTCTTCATACGAAATAACTTTATTTTTCACCATCTATATAATTGAAAGAATCCAAATTTTTGTTAAGAAAATAAAGCTAGTTTTATTTATAACAGCAAGATATATAAATATATTTGTGCATGTGTGTGTGTGAACATATTTTCAACTTCTACTCGTTTCTCTTATAACTTTAAATTTTTGTATACAATTCAAACAAAAAATTTTAAATACATAAATTATAAATGTAAGATTTTAAATTTAAATGAAATTCAAATTCATCAAGTCAAATGCAACCTAAGAGAATTTTTGGAGCTTGATAGCTCAATCTCTTGTGGTTATTAATGAAAATTGGAAGTTGGCTGACTGCTTTCATGTATCAATCCAGAATCACAATGAAAATTAAGCAACCTTACTTTATCGTCTGGACGCTACCAAACAAACATTTTCACAATAATTGCCTTTTTGAAGAAAAATAGTCAACGAAGTTCATGATCAATGGCACTTGAAATGACCGAGTGGTAAGAGACTCATATGTATTTCTTATATAAAATATGGAGTTCAAGTATTATGAATAATTGAAAAAAATGTTAACTTTAGTATCTCAATTCTCATAAATCAAATAAAATATAAGGATAGTGATGTGTACGTACCTGAAGAATACAAGAACACTAAAGATATTTTGATTATCTTGAATATAAACAGACGTACAATCCATTGTACTCCCATAATTTGTAGAGAGTTCAGAGATAATGAAGTAAGTGAAAACTATAATATATTTGTGGTTATCAACTGATCGACTTATATGGACTAAATTAGTAACCGCTATAATAAATAAATAATTAATTATATTTCATTATTTTTAACTCAGTCAGTTAAGAGATAGGGAATAATTGATGGTTATAGGATTGTAGGTTGGGCCTCTACCCACTGGACTCACTTGTATAGTCCACCTATCACAATCCACACAAAATTATAAAGACCAATCTATTTGGGCTTAATTAATTAATGTAGATTTATAAATAAATATTCCAACAAAAAAATCATGTTAGGAGAGTGTTCTTCAAATTAGGGCATATTTTGAGTGATTTTGTTAGAAATACAAGACAATATCAATGGACAAATTAATTTGCCAAACGTGTAGAAGCACTAAATGATTGATGATTAACATATATAACTATAAACATATACAACTATTAAATTCTAAATTGTTAAAAAAATGCCAAACGTGACACACAAGAATGTACGTGTCTATATATATATATATATATATATCAAATGCATTAGTAGATATATACTCTAAGGCATCCTTATTTCTGCTTAATGAAACGGCAAGTTATTGAATAAACAAATCAATTTAAAACAGAACTTGAACAAATCAAAGAAACACACTGATATTTATATATATATATATATATAAAGAATCCCTCCACTCTATATTAAAATAATAATATAGATAAAGGGATAATAATTAAGATCATATGCCATTGAAAAATCAAACAATCATAATTTTGTGAACAATAAGTTTGTTGGGTCAGAAGCCATTGAAAATGAGAAGTTATCCAACAGGAAAAAATAGTTGACAAATATACATGGATGGATCCATTGCAGTTGACATCCCCTAAAGTTGTGCGAAATTAGCTTTCCTTACCTGTACATACATAGATGATACATGCATACATCTTCTACTGTTGGCCA